AAAAAAAAAAAAAAAGGTATGCCTGTCAATACAGCAAAATCAGAAATTAAACTTCCGCTACATCGAAATTCTGGAATGTTTTCAAATGTATAATAAATTCCAACATGCCATGGAAACATTCCAGGTACGGCTTTAAATCCATTTATTATAAGACTAATAAATTTATCACTTTTACCACATTCTAAAAAAAAAAAAAAGAAAAACAACATTTAAAATATTTTTTTAAAAAATAATAAAAATAAAATTTAAAAAAAAAAAAAAAAAATTTTCGTTGCTGATAAATAATTACCAGGTATACATTTTGTTACACTCGAACTCCACGTATTATTTGATAAACAATTAATTATTTTATTTTTTTTATCGATTTCGTAAAATTCATCGCAAATAATTTCAGCTCGAGTTCCAATCGGACATTTAAAAACGCAATCGTATTTTTTTGAATTGTAAATGTACGTTACAGACCCGTGATTTGAAAATAAAAATGGCCGACATCCATTCGTTTCGTCACGTGACGTCACAGAGTTCCAAAACAACAACACTTGAAAAAAAAAAAAAAAAAAAATTTGAATCTATAATTTTTATTTAAAATAAATAAATAAAATAAATCTTACCGAAAAAAATATAAGCATTAATAATAATAATAAATTCCATGATTTAAATTATTATTTTATTATTATTATTATTATTATAACGAATAAATAACTTTTATATATGGTTAAATAATTAATTCGTAATCACGTAAAAAAAAAAAAAAATCATTCATCGTTAAATAACAATTATTCTTTTTTAAAAAAAAAAATTAATTAATAATCATTCTTAGAAATAATTAAATCAAAATATTTATTTATTATTATTATTATTATTTCTTTTTAATTAGCATTTTAAAGTCATTAAATCCAAAAAAAAAAAAAAAAAAAAGAGAAAAAAAAAAAGGAAAAGAACAAACACGTTCTAAACATAACGTATTCAATTGCACTTATTTATTTCATTTAAAATCAATAATAAAAATTATTATTATTATTATTATTTGTTTTAATTAACATTTAAATGAAAATTTATCCTTGGAAATTTATTTGTACTTAATTTTTTTTCTTATTTAATAGCTATATTTATTTACATAAATCAAAAAAACGAATCATTTAGGTTACTTTAATTATTATTATTTTTTTATTTTATTTTATTTTTTTTCATTTTAAAAAATTTCAAATTAATTAAAATAATAATATTAATAATTTATTAAGCAATTATTTATGATAATTAATAATTATGTGTGCGTTCACATAATGTTAATAATAATTATTTATTTATTTATTTATTTTATTGGGATTATGTGCATTTACATAAAGTTTTCTTCTATAAATTTATTTATTTTTTTTAATATGAAAATAAAATTTTGTTTTATTATTATAAATAAACAATAAAACTTTTCTTCTGCTTTTCTTTTCTCTTTAAGGTAAATTTAAATTTATTTAATTCACCCAAAAAAAAAAAACAAAATCAATTAACAAAATAATGATAATATTTTTTTTATTGTTTTTTTCTGCCATAAATAATTTTTTACAATGTTTACTATTTATTATTATTTTCATCATCATCATCATCATCATCATCATCATCATCGTTTGATAATTTAAATAAATTTATTTATTTTTATTAAACAAGAATATATAAATAAAAAAAAATATTTAAATAAAAATTATAATAACTTTAATAAATTTGTTTTATTATTATTTAATACATAACTTAAGATTTTTTAAATATATTTTAAATTATTTCACATGTATAATTATTAATTAAAATATTTAATAATTTTATATAAAAAAAAAAATTGAAAAATAATATTATTATTATTATTAAAGCATCATCATCGAAAAGAAAATTATATTTTTTTGGTGTTGAATTTATTTTCACGAACGAAAAAAAAAAAAAAATTATTAAGATTATATAATAAATAAATAAAAAAAACGAAAAAATATTTTTTTTATGCCCTTTACATTCAATCAATCAATCATTTACATAAGAATTTATTAAATTTTTTTTTATGTAAAAAATATATAATTTATTAATATATATCAATATCATTCATTGAATTTATTCATTTATTAAAATAAAAAATATTTAAACTTTTTGAATGGATTTATTTATTTATTTATTTATTTTAAATAATAATATCTTATCAATTTATTAAATAATCCCGTATTTAAATAAAAAAAAAAAAAAAAAAACTGTGATTACATAACTGATTAATGAAAAATTATTATTATTATTATTATTATTATTTTCGTTATAAGGTAACAACAATATTTTTATCCTTAAACAAAAAAAAATTTAATTTGCAACCGGATTTGTACAGTAAAAAAAATTTTTTTTAATTATTAAATGCTTCATGTTTATAAAGGCTATTTTTATTCCGCCATATTTGTTTTTCTTTTTGTTTATAAAAAAATCGTATTTAAATGAGAAATAAAAAAAAAAAACACTAAAAATTTCTTTTTTTTTATTTAATTTTATTTTCGTTTAACTTCGTTTTTTTAAATCGTCTTTTTTATTTTATTTACAAAATCTTAATTTATTTTATTTCATTCATTCATTTCATTAAAAGAATATATTTAATAAATGACTTCATTTTATTATTACTTGTTTTGGGTATATAATCAATCTTTTTTTTTTTTATTATCATTATTTATTACTGTAGGTATCGCTCGTTGAAGAAACCAATATTTCCTGGGATTCTTCAACCTGTCAAAATTAGAAAAAAATAAAAGGCTAATTCAACTCAAATTATATATACATACAATTCACACAGGAAATCAGAACTAATATTTATATATATATATATTAAAAAATTTAAATATTCTGTCGACTCCCACGTGAGAGAGAGAGAGAGAGAGAGAAAAAAAAAAAAGAAAAACATAAAATTTTTTCCACGGCAAACATTGGTGATGTTAAATATTATTATTATTATTATTATTTTTTGCTAATTAATTTTTTAAACTACAGAATATGAAAAAAAAAAAAAAAAAAAAAAAAAAGTAGTGATTAGGAATGGTATTTTTTTTTTTTCTCCTCCTCCTCTTTCGATACATAATAATTATTATTATTATTATTATTATTATTTAAATATTGCCGCTAATACGTGGATCCCTATGACGTTACCATGTCGCAAACTGATGCCGCTGGCATATTAGGACCTTTTAACGATTCATTTATATCTCTTCTAAACATTGATAAATTTTGTGTGAATCTATCTCTATTTTTCGTCTGTAAATTCCTTTCAATACCGTCCATCAGACTTTCGAACCACTGAAGCATAGCAGCTTGCTTGTCTACGGGTTGATTTCGTATTATTTGTTCTCTTAATCCGTTAAAATACTGAAACGTTATTATTATTATTATTTCAATTCCATTATGTATGAGGTAAAAACCTTATTAACATTTGACCATTTTACCTCTTCGTTAAGAAGAATCAATCCTAAAAGTGGTCTGGACATGGACCACTGATTCTTACAGTCTTCGAACATTATCACATTGAGTACAGTGCTAAGAATTCGCTGAAGGATTTCCGGATGTCTTTCTAGAACCTGAAGGAACATATCGTTGGACGCAGTCAATCCTCTATGAGTCTTTTTCCCTTTCATTGTTAATTGTTTAAATAAATAAGTCACAATATGATCAAGAGTCGCACAGCAACCGGTGCAAATCATTGTATCTAAAATCACAGATAAAATCAATTATTAGTATTAGGTGAAAGTAATTATAAGTTCATTGAATAATAGGAGGTTTTTTTTTTTTTTTTATACCTAAAGCTGTGAGACCTTCCGATATCGATGATAATATGTATAAAAAAGCATTAGGCTCAAGTGTTGATAAAAAACTCATATGATCCTGTGCCAAACATTCTAGTAAAACGTAATACGATTGAGAAAGCTTTGGATAATCCTAAAACGCAAACACATACGAGAAAAATAAAAAAATAAATTTAAAATACGAAACACGGTTTTAAAAAAATTTAAAATCGCGGATTATCTTTTTTATTTTTATTTTTAATCACTGACCAATAAATCACTCAAATTAATGGACAATAATAGTTTCACAAAAGTGTTCAAAACATTATTCAAAGCTTCATCTCCGTACAACCTAAAAACTGCAAAATTAACATAATTCCCGCAAAAGGCCGCTTTTAACATTGAAAAACAAACAGCTATCCCTTTTAATTTTAATGGATATATTTGATCTTTTGATATTTCTATATTTAATATATGACTCCCTGAAATTTATGATAAAAATTAATTATTTAAAATCATCAATTACGCTTCTGTGTAAATTTGTTTTTAAAATAAATTAATTAATTAATTACCGTAACTACAAATGATTTTACTCGCTTCTCTAAATAACAAAATTCCATTCGGCGAAGATACGTCAAACTGTAACCTTTGAGATCTGTTTTGAACCAATTCGGCAAAAAGTTTTAAAACTGGAGTAGTAACCTAAAACAAAAAAAAAAAAAAAACATTATTCTCATTCAATTAATTTAGAGAAAAACCAACATTTTATTCTTTGCTAATTGAATTCTCATTACCTGAGGATCATGATACCACAGTTCCATGGCATGTAATAATATAGAAGTGTAATTGGGATAAACCCATTCGAAAAACATCATGTAAGATATTTTCGTATTGAATGCAAACGCTAGACCTCGAATATCTCGAGCTAACCCAATAAGTGCATTCTTTGCTTCTTCGGCCACCAATAAAGGAGGTTCGGTCGAAGCCAGCATTGTGCCTACTGATTCAAATGTTGCTGTAAAACAAACAAACAAAATAACATTAATTCCAAAATTAAGACAAACGATAATAAAAAAAAATAAATTTGGTAAAAACCCTACCTGTGAGGGGTAACATAAAATTCTGAAATCTTTCTTCATCTTCTCCCAAATCAACCATGAGTAATCTACCTAATGAAGTGTAAAACATTGATCTGCATCTCATTTCGCTAACCGCAACGTTATTACCCAAAAATGGAAAGTGTTCACTCTAAATTAACATTAAAAAAAAAAATTAAAATTTTACACACGTGTATAAATTTATTTTATATTTAAAATGTTTTTTTTTTTTTTTACTTACGGTATGATTATTGAGCATAAACTGTACTTCTTCTAGTTTGACAAGCTTTCTAACACAACTATAACCGACCGAAAGATCATTTAACAGTTGAAGAGTTTTACTAATAATTTGTTCACTTCTTCCCCAATATTTTAAATTTGTTATTTTAAAAATTCAAAAAAAAAAAATAAATAAATAAACCCAATATAAGAATTTAAATAAATAAAACAAATAAATAAATATTTAAATATTTAAAATTACAAATTAATAAAAAAATAATTACATTTTTTTAATGAACCCACTTAAAACAATTGATTCATCACTAAGACCCAAAACTTTTGACAGCCTTTTATAAACTTTTGAATTTTTTTGAATTTGCAACCAAAAAAAAAAAAAAAATTATTATTAGTAAAATTATATCATTTTTTAAAATAAGGTTTTGAAAAAAAAAAAAAAAAAAAAAAAAACTAACCTGATCTCCAACGTAAATTTTTCTGAAATGTTCAAAAAAACTAAGCATGGCTTGCTCTAATTTTTCACAGCCTCCTTGGGCTAATCGAGAATCAGTTAAAGTCATTAATTGAAGGACTCTGCAAACTAATTCTCCGTCCATAGTATCTAATTCGTCATTGCTGCTAAACGATACTCTCCCAGCTATGGCTGATCCAATTATATATACAAGCCATGATAACCTCCCTAAAAAAAAAAAAAGGTACGAGAAATAAATAGTTGTGTTGTAAAATTTTTAATTTTCCTCTTTTTTTTGTTTTACCTTCTTGTATATTCATTTCGATAGATGAAGAAGAAGAAGGAACTGTTAAAGATTCTTGATAAGCTCTTGCAGCCTGATCAAATAACTGCACTAACAAAGAGCAAGTCTTCTGATATTCACATCGACCGATCACAGACAATTGTTCCAATTGCTGTTGCACCATTCCTAAATCATTGAGAGGATCTTCTAATCCCTCCCTAAAATTAACAAGTTTTATTATTTTTGGTAAAAATTTGAAACGAAAAAGAATAGAATGAAAAAAACAATCAAAAAACGAACCTGATTACCACGCCAACGGATTCCAATCTGGAGGTAATATACGCTTTTGTAACTTCAGGGGTATAAATATCAAGCAAGTGAGGTTCTTGCGCTTTGACATACGGTACGGATGCCACCATACGTTGCCACAAGCTAAGAAGATAGTGAACACTGTTTGGGGCAAACTGCCACATCTGTAAAAAAAAAAAAAAATTTATTAGATTTTAAAAATATTCATGTAAGTCAAAATCAATTGAGTACTAAGTTTAAGAAAAAAATATCACACCTGTAAACTTTCCACTGTAAATTTTGCTATTAACTGAATTGCTTCAGGATAATTATCAACGGTTACGAGTTCGCCAAGCTGATAATTTGATTTTAGCCTTGCCAATAAACGGCAAAACTCATGATAGTTACTCGGATCACTAAGACCTTGAGGATTCTGAAGTATATGTTTTACTCCATTGACAAGGTGGGTTAAAAATTTAGTTCGTTCAGAATTGGTAAAAAGAGATCGCCTTACTGAAGCTAATTGAACTAGACAAGACAAAGCCTGAAAAAGCCAAAAAAAAAAAAAAAAAAAAAAAGTAAATTAACTAGTTTAATTTAAACATGGGGTTTTTAAATACATAAAGTTATTTTTAAAAAATAATGAAAAATTACGTAGTTTTGTACGTACCAACGAAGACAATGTTCCAGGCAAGGAATGATACAAATCGAAAAAAAGTTTTAATGTTGAAAAATCAAGAAAAGCTGGCCTCCAACTGGTAGGTATTTGAACAGTACAAAGATCGTCTGAACTTTCGTCGGGCGACGTTCCAATAAAGTCAAAAGTTAAACAATTGTGTGCTAACCTTAATAATTGAGTCACTAATGCGTGCTGTAAAAATAAAAAATTAATTTTTCATAAGTAAATAATTAAGTAAACAATTTTTTTTTTTTTTTGAATAAAAATTAGATTTTATTAAACTGCAAGTTAAGGTAAATAACTCCTACTTAAAAAATATGGTTTACCCACCTGAGCTTCATCATTAAAATTTAATGTTTTGCAGTTTTCTCTTGCTGTTGTAAGTAATGAACAAGAGAGTTCAAAAATTTCATATAATTGTAAATCTCGAAAAGAAGTTGCTATCCTCCTATGTTTAGCCAAAGATCTATTGGCATCAGATTCAGATACTTGATTCATTTCACAAACTAAATGTGATAATAACTGTACACCAATCATGCAATGCTCAACAGAGCCCTGAAATAAAAATACATAAGAAAATTTATTTTATTAAAAATTAGTACATTTTCTGATTTTTTTCAAAAATTAAAATAAAATTAATTTTTATGTACTTGTAAAAATTTAGAGGTATCACTAACTACATTTCTAAAAACATACTCTTCTTTTTCACAATCAAACCAGCCTAGCTTTGTTATTTTGGCAAATAAAGTTACCAGTGCTTGAATAACAAAATTTGGTAATTTTGGACGAGTTGCTAGATAATTCAAAACATAAATGCCTGAAAAATACAAGAAGTAAGATTAAAAAAATTAAGATGAATACAATAAGAGTAGCAATCATTTTTACTTATAATAACTCATGTATATTTACAAAAAAAAATTGAAGTTTTAATAGTTTTTAATTGTAATTAATTAACTTACGAATATCAATTCTTTGTTCCCTAGTAAGTCCCTGTGTACTCCGAGACACAAGTCTTGTAAGAGTTGTTGCTGCCAATAATTGAGCATAACAAGAATCTCCTCTGGCCAGAAGAAGTTGACATTTAGTGAGAGTGTCAGGAGCATCTTGGAAGATCACCAGTGCTTTTTCTGCTTCAGCTCTATTAGCAGGATTTTGGGATTCATATAATTGCTTGCACAGCAATTCTAGTTGTCTTACCTCCTAAAAGTAAAATTTAAAAATATAAGTAAACAAAATTGTATATTTAATGCATGTGTTTTTTTAAATTTTAAATTTATAGTTTAAAAGTTTTATTAATAGCATGAAAAGTATTGTTTTTAAATTGTGAAGCCTACGAGGAAAAACATTTGATTGAAATTTAAAATTCGGTGTATTTTACATTGAAAGTGTTTGAGAGAGAGAGAGAGAGAAAAAAAAAAAAAACAAATTTGTCTGCCTAACTTGAATATTTAAAATAAATAACTTTAACAAAATCCCTAACACATCTCGCAAAAAGACAATGCAAAAGTATATCGTAAATTGTAGTAAAACATAAATAAGCATTTAAATAAGAATGACTATTAAAACAAATAAAATTATATTTCGGGACGCGTCTCCTACAACTAAATTCTATTAAATACATATATATACAGTTTTATAATAATACGCAAAACTTGACTTAAAGTAAAATTGAGCCTCATTCTTTGATTATTCTATTTAATTGAGTTTTTTTTACTCTAAATAAAAATCTAAATATTTATAACTAGAGAATTAAACATAAATAATTACAATTTGTTTTTAAATTGAAAAAATTCTCACCTGTTCCTCCGCCATTTTCTGGTTCACATTTCGACTTTTCTGTGCTGCACTCTACAAACATTATTATTTTCATTTTATTTACCAATGAGAATTCTCCATTAATTTATAATTAAATCTATTTCAGTTAAAAAAAAAACATTGAAGGCATCCTGCTAAAAAAAAATCTGCAATGTTTTAAATAATAAAATTTTTTTTTTCACGTTAAACAAGTAAAAAAAACTGAAAACTCTTTATATATTTTGTTCAGAATTGATTTAAAGGATATTTTTTGGATGCCAGAAGAAAAAAATTTTTTTATTATATTTATTGTATACCTTGATTAATTATTTATTACATACAGATAACTTATCTCGTATTTAACTTATCTTACAACTTTAAATTTTTCTTTCAACGTTTAATATTTAATTATAATTAATAATTTTTCAATTTTACATTTACTCTATACAGTAAAAATGTAATGTTGACATTAATTTTTTTTTTTTTAAATTACCTCGATAAACATTTGCCACTTCGTATTAACACCTTGACAATTAATAAAATGTTTTGTCTTGGTATTTTTCATATCAATATAATTATTGACTTTTTTTAATATTTTTAATATGAAATCTTTTTTTTTTCTCAATTTTTTCAATTATTTATGTTTTTATACAATAATATAGCACAAGATTTTTAAAAAACCCATAAAAAACTAATAATTTTTGGCAAATTTCTCAAATATTCAATTTTTTTAAAAATACTTATCGCATATTACTAGTTATTTATATTTATTTGTTTAAAACAAAAAGTAAATAATAATTTGATTGTAAAAAAATTTTTTTTTTGGCTAAGAATACAAAAATAAAAAATAAAAATAAAAACTTGTAAAAAAATTAAAAACCTATAAAAGACTTTATACAGTGACTACATAGCATTATTAATACCTAAAATAAATTAATAATTTTTAAAGTACTATTTAAATACCAATTTGGCTGTTAAACTATCTTTTTACTTTAAATTCAAAATTTGAAAAAAAAAAAAAAAAAACAAAAATTGAAATATTCCACAAAAAGTTTTTAAATAATCAAACCACCGATGATTAAAACCTGAAACCTTTTAGCAGTTTTCTTCTGGGGGGAAGGGGGAAAAAAAAAATTAAGGTATCTTTGGTCCCTTTATTTTTTGTAAATTGATATTTTAAATTTATTTAAATTTTTTTTTTTTTTTTTTTACTATTTTTCATTTAATTAAAAAAAAATTTAAGATAATATTAAAAACTAATTAAACTTAATTTAAAAAAAAAAGTTTTTAAAGTCTAATACTGCATCGCGCCATGAAGCAACTTGCATTTTTTTGTATTCTTACTCTGCTGATATTAATTAAAAATTCATTAGCACTATTTTACATCGTCAAAGTTAAATGTGCCCAGTAAATTTAAATCGAAAAAAAAAAAAAAAATTAAATTAAATTAGTTTTATAGTTTTTTTTTAACGACAAAAAAGATGATAAAATTGGGGTGTAACTACAATTTTCATTTTGGAATTAATTAAAAAAAAAAAAAAAAAAAAACACTCATGTAATAACTCAGGCCCAATTTGCCACTCAAAAAGCACTCACAAATGTAAATTATTGTTTTGTAAATTCTGTATATCATCACATCACTGTAACAATTATTATTATTATTATTATTATTATTATTATTATTATTATTATAGTTAAAAAAAAAAAAAAAAACTTACAAACGAATAATCATTATAACGATTTTTATAAAAATTACAATAAACATAAAAATCGATAATAATAAAAACGAATTTTCACTCCATCACTGATATTTTTTTTTTTTTTTTTTTTTTTTGACCCCCTGTTCAGTAAATTAACAGAAAGACGTTTTTTTAATTACTAATAGTATAGATAAAAAAAAAAAAAAAAAAAAAATCACTAATTTTATTATTGAAAACGTTGAGATGAAACATAACCTCAACCATGTCGGTTTATGATCACAGAAAAAAAATTATTTTTTCACTGATTTTATATAATACCTATATATATATGGTACTTTATCATAATTTTCTTTTTTTTTTTTTTCTTCTTTTTGAAGTAGGAAGCCTTTTGAATTATTAGTCAATTGTTAAAAAAAAAAAAAAAAAAGGTGACTTCAACTGTAAATGAACACTATTGATTAACTATTGCTACCAACTGGGAGACCCGTCTTCGAGAGATCGTCATTCAAAGGCTGTGCATAATACATGAAAAAAAAAAAAAAAAAATGTTTAGTAATCATTCAAAAAGTAAAAAAAAAAAAAAAAAGGTAAATTTGTTTATTGAAAGAACTTACGAGAAGGAGATCTGTGACCAGTGGCTGCTGCATTAACAGGGCTATTCAGTACGTTATCAGTTGGAATAAAGTTTAAAAAATCCCAAATAAGAATTGTATCGTCATGTGAGCTGGACACTATTTGAAATTCATCAAACTGTAATCGAAAAACTCTTCCAGTGTGCTCCTAATAAATAAATAATGTTCAGTAGTGTTTATATCAAATATCACAAGCATAATCTTTAATGTTGACAAATTAAACTGATAAATTGATAAACTGTGCATTTAAATAGCATTCCAGAATATTTTAATTAATGGGAAATATACGTACGACTAAAGTTCTTAAACATAAAGTACTAGCAGGAGCTCGGGGATCCAAAGCTGCGACCAAATCCCAAACTTTTATTTTTCCATCGTAAGCTCCAGATACTATTCTCTTAGTGTCAAACCTAATACACCGAACTAATTCTTCGTGACCCTCAAGAACGCGAAGGCAAGCTCCGCATTCGACGTCCCACAGTCTAATAAAATTCAAAATTAGTTTATGTGAGTTTAAGATAATTAATATGATAATGTAAAAAAAAAAAAAAAAAAAAGTGACTTGCCTTATCGTGTTATCAGAACTTCCACTGACAACAAACCTATCTTTGTATTGTAAACAAGCGATTCCTCTTTTGTGTCCATTCAGAGTACGAACAAATTCGCACGTGGAAGTATTCCATACTTTGATTGTACGATCACCCGAAGCACTTACGATGTACTTTTCGTCAAAATCTACCACATTAACAGCCGCACGGTGACCAACCAATACAGTCCTTAGAGTCATTATAGTCGGCGCTGTCATGTCCCAAACGGCAATGGAACGATCCTTAAAGTATAAAACGGATAATTATGTTAAATATAAACTGTTGCGAAAAACAATTTTATTATCATCAATTAAACAAATACCAACTTTTGAACAAGTCACCATCATGCCGTCATTAAAACGCAAGTGTAAAACAGCTTCACAATGGTGAATTAATGTACTGACCATTTCACCTGTATTAACATCCCACACTCTAACTGTCGAGTCACTGGACCCACTAATAATAACTTTATCATCGTACTGCAAGCAAAGTACTGAACCCGTATGACCTGTTAACACCTAAAATAATAAAAAAAATAACATATTTTTTTAAAAATTAAAATTATTAATCTCATCAACTATTAAAACCTTGTTAGAAAACAACAAAATCAAGAAAATTAAAAATTTTTGTCATTTACTTTAACACATTGTAAGGTTTTTCTATCCCAAATTTTAATGGTATTATCCCTAAGACCGGAAACAATTTTTTGATCATCATACTGAAGACAGTAAACACCCTTAGAATTCTCTGATCTACAATTTATTCTCTGTAATACATGTCGTCCCATTCGCCAATTCTGCTCTATACTCTATAAGTTTTAGAATTTGAAACAAATTAAATCATCATCTTCATTTTAAAAAAAAAAAAAAAAACAAACAATTTTACCAGAAAAAATTTTCACTTACATCGATATCTTGAATTATTTTAGGGAATAGAGACCTATAAAATGAATTATGTGGAAATGTTTCTCCAGGTTTAGGTTTAAATAAATATTCAATCCTAAAATAATAAATCATTAATTAGAGAAGTGATCATACTTTAAAGTAAAAAAAAAAAAAAAAAAAAAATGCATACCATCCTCTTCGCTCTGCTAATCCTCGCCACAAAGAATCTGTTCTTACTTTTCTCTCAATTAATTTTTTCCACAACATTCCTTCTGAGATCACTCTATACCATTCTTTGCACACTCTTTCTGCTGAATATAGTGATTCTGCATCTAAATATGATAATATACACTCTGCTACATGATGAAGGCCTCTCTCTAAATTTTCAAAATTTTATTATTATTTTTATGATTTTTTGTGTTAATTTTTTTTTTTTTGAATTCTTACTTGGTAATAAGGAAATAAAATCTCTTTGTAACATTGGCTTTAAATATGAGTCTATATGGCCATGCTGATAATGACACATTCTTGATAACAGATGTTCTACAAATTCGATTTGATCTTGCTCGCTCCATTTTTCAAAAAATTTAATACAGCTTTCCCTTTCTGTTACATACTGTGATGAAGGTTCCTTTTTACGAGATGGATCATACAAAATAGTCATGGGACTAAACTAAAAAAAAAAAAAATTTGTAATATTATAAAATAGCACAAAATCATCTTATTAATACTTTATAATAATAATTTCATGAAAAAATTAAAAAAAAATAATAAAATAAAAATAAATAAATATAACTGCAAAATAGTACAAAATTAGATTTTTTATGGCCAATAAATAAAAAAATTTTATATTTCTTTCTTTTAAATGGCAAACTACTTTTATTTTTAATTTAAAAAAAAAAAAAAAAAATCAAGCATTAACAAAAACAAAGAAAAATTTATCAAGTATACAATTTTAAACTTAAAAACCATTTTAGGTAGTCAAGTTTATAAAAAAAAAAGAAATAAATTTATACTTAAAAATCATATAAAAAAAGAACCATATTATATTTTAAAATAGAAAAAAAAAAAGCAATTATCTATACAATAAAATGCATAAAGTAAAAAATAACTGTATACTAATAATTACATTAATGGTTAGATAAAACATAACAAAACATATATGTTTATAGGCTTGACATATTATTCTTAGAATTCAATAATATTAGGATGAAATAAATTAAATTTCATGCATATAATTTTTAAATAAATTGTCCCAATTAATATATCTTTCTAAGATTGTTAGTAGTATTTTGAAAAAGTCACAGTAGCTAAGAAAACAATCAAAAATTTAATTTTCTTGTTTACTTTTAAATAACACAATGTGTTACAATTAATAAGTCTTAAACTCGAAAAACAGTATTTTAAAATATAACTTTTTTGTTAATTCCCTTAAAAAGTAACACAAAACAAATATTCACATAACTAATATTTTGACAGAAATATAACTTAAAATAAAACAGTATTTTTAATACAAAATGGCGAGAAATTATGACCGTGGTGCGACCCACTTATTAAAAATCTACAATGGAAAGTTAAATCCAACACAAACCTGTGTATTTGAATTACCATCTCCAATAATCTTATCTGTTTCCATTTTCATCATTTTTTATTTTAGTTAGAAAAACACTATAGATAAAATAAAGGGTCCATAAAAAATTAATACAGTAGAGGAAGTCAATAATCGGTGACGTCACTACTATGAATTATCAAAAATTATTTCGCCACTTTATAAATTTGTCGCCAATACGTACAATCAAATGCCACGACATAAAATTATTTATTATTTGTTTTTTTTTTTTTTAAATTCAAAAATTATTATGCTGTAAATATGTTATTTTATTTTTTAAACATATTGAAATAATTTAAGAAGTTTCTTAAGTAAATAATTTTAAATTAAATGTGTACAAGTTTTTTAATACTTGAAGTTTTAACAGGTTTACCATCGGCCTTTTATAATTCTTTTTTTTTTGGCTAAATTTTAATTCGGCAGAATATGAAAAAAATATATGTAAATATTTTTATTTTATTAAATTAATAAAAAACAATTCAAAAAATAATTTTGAAAATTTATTAATTAATTAATTACCTGTACACACATTTTAAAGTATTTCATTTAATTTTTTATTTAATCTGCAGAAAGCTAACCTCTAAAACTCCGTGCAGCTAATATAGTTAAAAAAGGAATATTTGGTATTGGTTAGGTTTTATACTTTCCTTATTATTTAATTTAAAAATATTTTTTTTTAAATTTTATTATTCTAATATCTAAAAAAGCAAACACAAATTTTTAAACAAATTATGAACCACAAAAAACTTTTCTAATTATATCATTACTTTTTATATTTATATCTGCATTTGGTAAATTCATTTTGAAAATGGGTTCTCCGGATGAGTTTCCAAACTGAAAACAAACAAAAAAAAAAAAAAACATTTTCTTATTGTGTAACAGTCAGTGGCTATTAAAATTATTAAATATATAAATTAATAATTACTTTTTAAAAAATTCTTCCATTTTTAATATTCTGGTTTTCTTATCAAGGGCTTCCAATTGTGACATTTGTTCCGGCGATAATTCAAAATCGAAAATCTGAAATTATATATATATATATATATATATATATATTTATTAATTATTATTTTTTCTTACATTTCAAATAATTTTATAAAAACATACATTAAAATTTTCCTTTATTCTGTGCGGTGTAACACTTTTAGGAATGGTAGCAATTCCTCTTTGAATAACGAATCTTAAAAGAACTTGAGCCGCAGTTTTGCCAACTTCGGACGCAATTTGCACGACGACCGGATTCTCAAGTAAACTGGGAAGTTCAATTCTAAAGAGAAAAAAAATGAAATTTTTAAATTTAAATAATTTTTTTCGTTTAACTAAGTTTATTTTACATACTGTGAACCGAATTGTTCAAAAAATATTTTCGATCCGGGTGTTCCCAACGATGAATAAGCCGTTAATGTAATATTATGTTTTTTCAATGCTTCTTCCAATTCTCTTTGCTGATTATAAACATGGAGTTCAACTTGATTCGTAACGGGTTTTATTCTTGCTATTTCAACTATTCTATCAACTTGTTCAGATGAAAAATTTGAAACTCCAATCGATTTTGTTTTACCCAAATCAACCATCTCTTCCATTTTCTACGAAAAAAACGTCAACGTCAACATAATCCTTCTTCTTCTTCTTTTTCTTAATAATAATAAAATGTCGTTATTTTCACCTTCCATATTGCTATCAAATCTGTAGAATAATCAAAATCGACTGTTTTATCCGGTTTTAACGGAAATGTCGTTTCATCGTCGACATATTTTAATCCAAAAGGAGTATGAATCAAATATAGATCAACATAATCCAATTGTAATTTCGAAAGTGAAAGATCCAAAAATTTTTGAACATGGGATTCTCTATTACCGATGTTGGGAAGCTAAACGATAAACAATATCATTATCATTATTATTATTATTATTATTATTATTATTATTATTTATTTTTTAAATAATAAGCTTAAATCCAATACCCAAAGATTAGATAATAATTATAATCAGTTAAATCTTCAAAGCGTCTTTAAAAAAAAAAAAAATTCTCAGTGTGATGTGAAAAATAATATATATATATATATATTCATGATTAATAAATAATTGGATAATTATTAAAAAGTTTATTTATTTAATTGTTTAATATTGTTTTAATTGTTTAACCTTGAACGTAGTAAATTATTTTATTATGTATTAATTTTTTTTGAAAGATCCTTGAAAAACGCAAAAAGTTTTTCACGGAATGAAAAAAATGAATTCAAAATTATTATTATTATTTTGTTTAATAACTTCCGGGAATTTCGAATATATTTGCCCGAAATTTATTACGTGTAAATCATCGATAACAGAAAAATCATGTCCCCAGGGATATTTTTATAAAAAAAATGTCAACGTTGGTGGATGTTGTCCAGGGTGTGTAAAACTAAAGGGTAAATTATATTTCATATATTATTTAATATTGAATGAAAAATTCTGTTTATTTTATGAAAATAATCGATGGTAATTTTCTTCATTATTTATATTAAAAAAAAAGGAACTCGAATAAAAAAAGAGTAAGAATAATAATAATAATAACAACACAAAGAGAATAATTTAATCGAACACGCAATGATTTCCTTTTTTTTCTTTTTTATGTGCGTAGAAAATCTTTTTATTATTTATTACAAACGATTGTTTTTTAATTTCTTTTCCCATTAAAAAAAAAAGAAAAAAAGGAAAAAAAATCGATTACAACGCATTTTTAATGTTGAAAAATTCTACTAGTGAAAACCGTTAAACATTAAATGAAAAATTCTCTCTCTCTCTCTCTCAAAAAAACACAACAGGAATAATTGGATGTTTTAAAAGTTGAAAAATTGATAAATTTTTCTTTTTTTAATGTAATTTTCCAGATGAAAATGAATTTTGTCTCAAATCCAGCGAATGTCAACCTGGATTAAAATGTGGATACGAAGAAAAATGCGTCAAAGATTCGACTCAAGGTGCATATAAAGCTTCTACTAAGAAAAAAATTTTCCTATTTTATTTATTTATTTTTTTAAAAATGTTTTTCCCCCTCAAGCATGCGAATATTATAAACGAACGGATAAAATTTGGACGAATAATAAATATTGGGAACCACAATGTCTTCCCAACGGTGGTTTTGCCCCAAAACAATGCAAAGGAGAACGTGGATTTGGTAAATGTTTTTGTTCTGATAATATTGGCAATAGAATATTCGGAGAAGAAAAATGGTTCAATGCAGATAAATATAACATGACATGTGGTGAGTATGTTTCGAACAAACAACAACAACAAACAAACAAACAACAAATTAAATTCTTACCATGCAAATTTTTTTGTTATTTAAAATCCTTATATACGCCATGATTTTTTTCTTTTTTTCTTTTAAAGAATGCAGTCGTTTCGTAGATGAAATTCATAAAATAAATGAAGAAAAAAAATCAGAAGTGACCCTACATTGTGATAATATTGGTAATTTCGAACCTCTTCAGTGCGATCAAGATGTTTGTTGGTGCGCACATACCATAACAGGATTTCCCTATACTCTTATGGTACCGTTAAAAATGATGACATCTTTACCATGCTGTACGACGGTTTCGTATTATTAACGTACAATTATTTAAAACTCTTATTAACGATTTTTTTTTTTTTTTGTAAACGCAGATAATAAAAATAAAATCGGAGAACAATATTATAAAAAATGCGATAGCGAACGTAATGTTATAGAAAAGGCAAAAGAATTATTGCGAAATCACGGAACCGTTAAAATAACTTTACCCACGTCAAATTGCAACCACGATGGCAGTTATGGAAGAGTACAAAAAATAAAAGAAAAGTAAGTTTTTCTGTTTTTATTTTTTCTTTTTGCAAAATATTAATAATAATTATTTTATATTTGTAATCGATTAGGACTCGGTGCGTGTACGTAAATAATAAATTGCTTACTTATGACGTGCCGAAGAATGGTGGTACCGATTGTAATTGTGCTTATGACAAACACGTTTACGAAATGAACCAACAGCAGGTACCATTTTCATATGAATGCGAACCTAACGGAAATTATTGCACAAAACAAATTTTCGATCAAAATACGTATTGCGTCGATAAAGATGGTTTTATTTATTCAAACGATTTAAAAGATTGTCGGTTAAGTTAATTTATTATTATTATTATTATTATAATTACCTTCGTCACAATGAAAAGATCTTCTCTTTTGACTTTTCCCTCATCCAACCATCTTTTGAGTACTCTTCCGACAACGTGTTCATTTTTATAAACGTAAGCAGTGTCGATATGACGATAACCAGTTTCCAAAGCACAATCTAAAGCCGCTTCTAATTTTTCTTCATCGGCCTTTAAAAAATAATAATAATAATAATAATTTTAAAAATAAATAATTAATAAAGTAAATAAAAAAGTAGAGAAGAAGAAAAAGTTTTTAAAAAATTATTTTATTTTTAATTTGCTTTCGTTCAATGATATTTTTCGATTTGTTGTCAATTAATATCCACAATGGAGTCAGTATGAGTAAACATCAGTAAAATAAAAATTTTGTATAAAAGTTACATACATAACATTATTTTTTTTTGATTTTTATTTTATTTTTTTATACATTAAAATGTTATTTATTTTGTGAGTGAGAAAAAAAAAATAATACATATTATCCAAGGGGATTCGCAAATAAAAAATCGAATTAATCGAATTTAAATTTTATTGAAAAATTTAAATGAAAAATTAAAAATAACAAAACACAATTTTTTGAAATCGATCAATCAATCAATCAATCAATAAATAAATAAATCAAATTAATATTTTTTCAAACTGGATAAAATAGACGTTAATAGAACCGATTCTATCGGATCATTTCACGGCTCTACACATTCTAAGAGTGATACAAGTACAAAATTTTCCCTTACCGGATCGGGATCATTCAACACCAAAGAGGGAACCGCATCAAAATTTCAGTGGAAAAGCCAGTGGCAACATATTTTTTTTTTTTTGGCTTATACCATTTCCTGGACATCATTTTTAACCATCGGCTTTACCGAAAAAGACCATAATATTAATTTAATTCAAATACTTATAACGTACATATTTTTCGGATGTCCGACCATATTTGTACAAGTTTTCATCGGACAATTTACACAAAAAGGTTGTCTTGTTTTCGGTGAAATGATGCCAGTGGCCAACGGGTTAGGATATTTGTTTTTACTAAATACTTTTTTGGAAAGCGTAATAAATTTTCATTTTAGCGTTTTTTTTATATATTATATTTTTGTATCAATGTTTAATCATCCGTATCCACCTTGGATGAGCTGCTTTAGCGATTATTACAATTATACTCCAAATTGTATCGGCCTCGATGAAATTGATCAGTGTCCTATTTGTTCGTCGGAAATCGAGTCAAGAAAATCTTGTTTTAATTATAAAACGGATGAATTTTCCGCTTGTTTGTTTTATAAACATAGAGTTATTGAGTTTGGAACGAGTAAAGACCCGTGGACTTTACCACCCGTCATGTACATAATACACATGTCCATATCCTTTACCATAGCTGCCGTTGTTATAGTTAAAACGTTAAAAGATTTAGACTCTACAATACGTGTTGGAAACGTGTTTATTCTTACTTCTTTAACCGTCATGATTAGTGTAATTACTCTTTCATCGTTTCGAATACAAGGGATTTTATTATTTTTCAATACTCCCTGGAAATCATTTTTCAATCTGGGAACCTGGATAGAATCAATAAAATCAAATATAATCAGTTTGAAACTTTACGAAGCGGGTAACGTTTTATTTGGGTCTTTTACTCCCGTCACTGTAAACACAGGGATTCGATCCAGCTATCTTTGCATGGCCCACCTTTTCTCACTTGTTGTTTACAGTATTTTCGCATATTTGCTCATTGAAAATTTATATTGTCAATTGGATACAAATCCCGCTCATTACGAAGTATACAGTTTGGACGATCTCATTTTTTGTATTTATCCCGAAGCATTAGGTTTGCTAGCGGCAGCACCCGTTTGGGGAAGCTTGTATTTTATTATTATTTTTATAGTTACTCTACAAACGGGAGTTCTTCAATTGATTATAATTGAAGGATCCCTAAGTGAAGAAATTATAAGTTCTTCTTATTATATTTACACTAGGTTTTTACTTCTTTTACTTGCTTTTTTATTATGCTTATTTTTAGGAGTGAACACAGGAGATTCTTACTTGCCATATTACATGTCATCGTTAAATTTATTAAGGTTATCAGCTGTATTTTTCTTTTATTGTGTTTTAGTACTCTACGGATTTCAAAGATTATTCGACGACATTTATTTCCTATTAAAAAACCCTCCTTCTTGTTTCTACAAGACTTCCTGGTGTATGTCACTATTCATATCAGGCACTACATTTTTCATTTTTTTTTATTACAAAAAGTTTACAAGACTAGTTGATTACATTGCAATGGGATGCCTAATATTGTCTCTCGCTTTGGGGTTTCTCGTGAAATTTATTAAGTATCTTAAAGCAAGGAAATTAATGTCCATGTTTAGGCAAGCCGAAAATTGGGGTCCATCCAGTACTGAATCAAAAAATAATAGGAAATTATTCAATCCACGTTACGAAGTACGATTTAGACGAAGAGTTGAAACGTGCAAACACAGATGCTTGTTAAATAGTGTAGTAGTAAAAAGAACAGTTGACAAAGAATTGTCATTGGTTAGTAATGTCCTTTTTGAAATGGAAGAAAACGAAGAAAACAGAAGAGTGAAAATAAAAGAAATAAGACAACTTCAAAAACACAGGAAAATCATGGCTAAAATTTTAGCACAAAAGACGCGAGAAGATTTTGATTTGTTATTTACAGAAAAACAAAATTGAACACATTTTTTCTCAAAATAATTTTTTAAGTATATATAATATTATTATTATTATTATTATTAATTTTTAAGTTTACTTGTACTTAAAACAAACCTTGAATATTGATTTTATTCTTTTTTTTTAATATATATATATACATAAATTTAATTTTAAAAAAAATAAAGTTCTACGTCTATGGTTTAAAAACAAAGAAAAACTACTACTATTGCAAAGCATTAGGATAAAAAAAAATTTATTTTAATAATAATAATAATATTTTCCGTTTTGCTTTTGTCAATTACAAGTTCTAACACTTTTATTGAGTATATTGTTTTTCTTAAAAAAAAGTTTTCATTTAAGAAAAATAAAATATACTCTCAAGTCTCTCTCCCTATTAAAATTTTTATATAGTTATACTTTTAACATACAGGTATTGAAAAACCTGAAATTGAAATGGTTTGAAAACAAAGAAAATAATAATAATAATATGCATATTATTATTGGTTTCAAGTATTTTATGAGTAATAATAATACTTGTCATGAGCATAATTATTCATAGCTAACAATTAATTTTAATAAAATGATTTTTTTAGGTATTAAAATAATAATAAAATACAAAAATGTGATTCACATTATGTACATTATTACTTTAATATTGCATAATAATAATTTTTATTTACCTGCCAGGTTCCATAACCAAGAATAGGCATTTTCATACCATTGGACAAGGTCAAATCAGTCACAGTGGTGGACATTTTGAAATTTACTGTAATAAATAAATAAATTTTCACTTAAATATACATAAAAATAAAAATTTAAATTAATAATACATTCAAAAAACTTATAATAAATAGGAGGTAAATTTTTATGTATAAATTTACAAAAAAATTATCAAACTACTGACATTACAACATTACATAAAGTTATATTTACTTACTTTAATTATAAATTATTCAAAAGCTATATAACAACTATATTTTTATAGAGAAAAAAAATAACGTTTGTTAATAATAATAATTTAATTTAATTTAAAAAAAAAAATAATAATAATTCAAATTTATATAAATTTTATATCGCGGCTTTTGATTAAAAACAGTCAACTAACGGAACTGATTTTAACATTAGCCAACCACACTAACCGACGCAATCGGGGAATTGTAAATTACGATAACCTTGGTTTTTAAGTTACGCTCATGTTTAACTTATGTCAAAGCGTAGTATTTGAATATTGATTCGTCAATTTCTAATAAATATTTCAAAATTTTTTTTATACGTTCCATGTAAAGTATAATTAAAAAAAAAAAAAACACTTGAAAAAAAAATAAATAAATAAATAAATAATTTTTTTTTTTTACTGGGTTATTTATTTTATTTTATTATTCATTCACTAAATTTTCATTTTTTTTTTTTTGAATTACAA